AGGCCAATATTTGTAGGACCCTATTCTACACAGAAAATAAAAACTTGATTACTTAAAACTATGTTCTAAGCTATAAATAAATTTGATAACCAAATTTGCAATTATCAGAAGTACTACCAATTTCAGTATCTGGAGGTTCTCCAATAAAAAATGTGTTAAAATTTAGTTGTTCAATGCTATCTAACAAAAATACCTTCCCCTAATGATCTCACTAAATTCAGCTTTGCATTTCCGTACTGTTCCATTTACGGGTCCTCTCCTTTTCTCCCTAAATCTTCACAGTCTTGATGCTGAATTAACTTGTTTGCCACATTATTTTTAGTTTGTTTGTAAAGGCTTTTTTCCAAATTCTAATAACTGCTGTTGAAAAACAAACTCCACTCCTGCTGTTACATTTATAAGATTGGATACAGTTTACACTAAACTCAATGTACATTCCATAACACTATATAATACTAAAATATAATATACATATATATATATATATATAATATATTAATAACCAACCGTGAAATAGGAAAACTCGGAATGCTCTAGCGTGAAAATCGCCAGTTTCCGGGAAGTTTTTGCAATGCTGTTTCAAATAAACTCCAAATTGACTTGGATTACTTTAATTCATTTCAATCTATTAAAACTATTTACAATATGATTCTGATGCAAAATATATTAATATTTAAATAGGTATTTTAAGTTTCAATTTCTTTGCTTAATTTCATTTCATAATTTTCTTACATTTTTGTACTGAAAACAACCTTGAGTATGGAAGAAAAATCTTTTATTTATCAAAATACTTTTAAAGATGATGAAAATAAAATAATAACTAACTAAACATTGGTTGAATTTTCACAAAAAGGTCTTACAAATGTTTAGAAAATTTTAAGACAATTTAGATCAAATAAAATTTAATTAGAAATATACTGAAAATCACCAGAGATGGAGCACAATTTAAATTTATTTAATTTCATTATATTTCATTAATTGATGAAAAACATTCTTTTAGTTTTTTTTTTTTTTTTTTTTTCTTTTCTTTTAAAGCAATTCTAAAAATTAAACACTCGGAGATTTGGTAATCTACTGGGAGAACAGAAGATGTGATAAAAAAACTGGGTATCTTCTGTAAAATGGAAGAGTTAGCAGCTATGAATATAGCTCCTTATCGACAATACCTTGCAATATATTACTACTATTCTTTTTGTAGCACTGACTACCATTCTATTTCACATTAATAAATTTTAACTACTTTTCGTAGCTCTGTTTGCATGCTTTCGGAAAATACTGTTTTGGGCTATATAGAAAAGAAAGTAACACAATGGCCTAAAATCCAAATCACATTTCCTTTAATCCTGGCAGCTTTAATAACTGGTATTACAGCATGTATACTGCACAAAAAAAAGGGGGACAGTTTTATACCTTCGTTCTACTGGGCTGATTGACAAAATTCAAATTGCATTTTTCATGTCTCGAAAGCACGCCTTAGGATGTATATTAGATTTATATATAGCATTGTTCTAACATAGGTATTTTGACACAAAATCGGGCTTTTTCTGAAAGACCATACCAATTTTTTTCCATATTTTGAGTCTACGACTCAAATTATGCCTAGATATTAAATTTCAGAAAATTTGATGTGAAATTTACGGAAAAATTCAAAAATATATTTTGGCACAATTTTATTTCATTTTTTGCGAAGAATAATTCACTTGGCGAACTTCTTAAAATATGGCAACCAATTTTCCTTTTCCATCCATTATGCTGGAGCGGAAAAAAAGGCATCTCGTTACTACCTCTTGTCATTGTGCATGAGCGGAAAAAGTCACATCGTTTCTACTTTCAAATAATTTTAGAAAAGTGTCTAAACCACATTTGATGTTTTACCACTTTCAACAAATATGCCAAATTCCAAAACACACCAATATATAAATTCACATATATCTTTGGAAATTTTGAATAAAAAACTAATTTTTTGCATGTATGCTTAGAAATACGTGTACTTTAAGACGATGGTAAAACTTTTATAGATTATAATTCAAAAATTCTTTTGAAAAATTTATAAAAATTATTTTTAAATAAATCATCAAAAATGGGTGAATTTTATTTGGAATGAATCTAAATTTCAAAATGTGAAAGGAAGAATCAAACAAGTTTAATAAAAAAAGAGAGATTAATAAATATATACCAAACTCAATTAACACTAAGGAGCTAAAATTTTGAGAGCTAATTTTTTAAAAACTACTCGTGTGATTTTGACAAAACTTGGTAGTTTGGCATAATTTGAGTCGTAGAATCGAAATATGGAAAAAAAATTGGTTTGTTATTTCAGAAAAAGTCCAATTTTGTGTCAAAATACATGTATTAGAACAATGCTTTATATATAAATCTAATATACATACTAAGTCGTGCTTTCAAGACATGAAAGACACAAGTTGAATTTTGTCAATCGGCCCAGTAGAACGGAAGATATAGAACTGTCTTTTTTTTTTTTTTTTTTTTTTTTTTTTTTTTTGTGTGTGTGTTGGTGTTTGTGTGTGTGTGTGTGTGTGTGTGCAGTGTACAAAAGTCTACCTGCAGTGGAACCATGAATAAAACAGCTGCAAAAAGAAAGTCAAGTCACTACAATTTTTTCCAGTTCATTTGATTTTAGTTCAAGTTCTTTTCCAGTTCAGGTTCATTTCTACTTATTTACTTTGTTTTGTTTTGTGAAAAGCACATGAATGAAGGTTAGTTTGATCTCATATCAGATGTAGAAAATAACTGATATACAGTATATACAGTGAAGATAACAAAAGTTACAATTACATATAAGGTCACTGGCAATGGCATAGAAGTGCTTATTTTAAAATAAAAATGATAACAACTGCCTGGAATACAATAAATGTCACCTCTATTCTTGTGCCTGTGCAATAGATGTCTCTTGAAATGAAGGTCAAAGTCTAGCCTCGCTCATAGATGTAATAGGCATTCTCATAATATAATACACATATTTCATTGACACAAATATCATGTGTGCCTACATCCACTGAGAGAATTTTCAAGTATAATATTAAATAATGTTCTGCTTTTGCAAGTGAGGAGCAAAGAACAAGTTATGCAACAAGCAGAACTTTATTTGCTTTTGCAAATAAGGGTTGCAATAAGAACTCAATACCTCCTCCAGCCCAGGAGCATTCGAAGAAAGGACAGCAGACTCCATTCCCACATTCCTATTCACCTTTGTTCTCATCTAGTTTACAAAAACTAACCAATTTCTCCAAAGTCGCTTTCACCAGTTGCAAGAACATATGACAGGGGTGACAGTAGAAGCTGCATGTTACATGTCAGGAATGTTCAAAAAACCAGTTCCGCATATTAAAAGTAGTGGGCCAATTTGTGAATGGAAAGAAGTAGCTAAAGTAAATAAATGTGAATTTCCCCACTTTTTATGTCTTAATGCGGCTAGATGTAAATATAAAATTCTTATTTCTCCTGCTCTATATCAGAAAAATGCAGTCTTGCAGAATGAAACATTGAAAGTATTGTATGACGTAAATAAACTCTTTTTTTTTTTTTTTTTTTTTTTTTTTTTTAAAAAAATGCAGAATTCAAGCACTTACTTCTGGCTTTCTTCATTCCCATTATAAGTGTTGAGTGGTTTTAGCAGGTGAAAATAATTATCCACTTGAGTTCTTTACAGCATAAATTTTAAAGTGATGAATGTCTGAAGTGAAATCTGCAAACACTTAGCGTACTGCAACTCCACAAACCAAAGATTGTATTTAAAAACTGAAAGTTTATCTAGCAAAATTCTAAAGAAGTTTTAAGCTGCATTTCATGAAGTTTGTGGTGATCAGGCAATGAACAATATTACAGCCTTCTGTGGAGCTACTCTCTTTTGTGAAAGGCATATCTAGATTGTAAAATAGCCAATGGCCAAACACAACAGATGACAGAAATATAACATTTATAGCAGATCTGAAATGAACCCTTTCGTGTTCAACATTTCTTAAGATTTGCTCTATGTGATTATGGCAAAGCTTTCAGGGCTATCTGCCTAAGAGGAGGGATGCCTTTGTGGAGGACTTTCTAATGGACACTGGCTCATGGGGAAAATTCACAAAAATGCACATGCAGCCAACTCGTTTATGGGATTCGAACCTTGGATCAAACTACCATCGTTCAGCGACTTTATTACTCAGTCGCTGGTGGGTCCGGATCTGAAAGGAAGAAGAATGTTCAGCAATATACAAAGAAATATCACTTGCTACAGATATTGTTTCACCAGCACCAGTATATAGTATTATGGCAAAAGCTTTTTTGTGAAGAAAAATTTGTGCTCAGTATATTTCTCAGTGCTTGATGTACCTATATAGAAACAAAGATTTGATGATAAAATCCTGAGCAATTGCTATTTGATGAATGTAGATTATGGATATTTGAAAAGACCTGAAAGCACAATGAATTCTATATAAATGACAGTTAACATTCTAATCAAAAGCCAGAAAGAACGGAGTAATTCTTCCTGTAGAAAATAGTTTTTATCTTCTTAAATTAACAAATAAAATTTCTTCTCAAATTTAAGAATAATAAATTTCAGAAATGTAAATCATTTGTCACTATGTATTATAAAGAAACTAAATTTATTCATATATTGAACTTAGAAGGGAGGATATCAGCACCTGGATTGGCAGAATCTCTAATCTGATCTCTGATTGATACAAACACATTATATAATTGAAGCAATAAAAAAAGAAAAATTACAAATGGAATGCATTCATTTTCATTTATACAGAAATGAAACATAAAGATATATGGCATGCTAGTAATTGATTGTAAAAAAAATTTTAATAAAGCATTTACCTGTACAATAAATACAGAAATTGCATATTCAAACTGGTTCACAAAATCTTTTACAAAATTATCATAAAATTGATTACTCTAAATTACAGAATTGTTGGATATGCATATTAAACTTAAACTGCACACTTCATGGCATCTTTGAACAATTGCTTCAAGATACACATTACTTCAGTTTTGTATATAATGTTTTTATTAATATACAATAATGTGCTTTGTCACAAGATAGTACAAATGCATTAGGAAATTCAATAAATATCACAGCTTTTTAAATAATGTACAATATTTACAAAAAATGATGAGTCGATCTTTTCAATGACGGATGTCATGTTAAATCAATTAGTTCTGGTTTAACTAAAATGAGAAAAAAAGAAACATTTCAAATTAATATATTAATTATCAAAGCTTTTTTAACACAGATCTAAATAGTTTAAATCTAATCCCTTTTTAAAATATTTATGGTTATTTAAAACTTAAATCTTTTCTAAATAACTGTACTGAATTTCAAATTATACAAAGTTTTTCATTTACCTCCAACACAGCATAATACACACTATGAACAATGCACAAGCACACACACAAGAGTTTAAAAAAGACTGCAAAATTAAATAAAATCTCTTAAGTGATTAGCCATACGCTCGTGGTTTGTAGCTGGCCACGAGAGGGCGCAGCTTTTTTACTTTTAGCTTGTTATATTTTTCTTACCGCATTGCGGATTTTTGAGATAGATGTAGTGGCAACAAAAGAAACATGATGAATGTTCTAATGTAAGCATACAATTGTTGTACATAGCTGTAAATAAAGCTTCTGTGTGATAAAAATGAAAAGGAATTCCAAGCGTTCCTGTGGATATTCGTCAAGAAAGGTAAGCAAAATTTCACTTACCAAATGTTGTTAAATGTAAAAAATAAGAATAAGAAAATACAAATAAGAAAAAAGATCATAAATTGCAACATGGTTCAACTGAAGTGATAAATGAAATAATTAATTATTAAGGCTTTTTGAATGAGGGACTTTTAGTCACATGACATCATTTACTAAAAGTATACAAAAGTCATAAAAATTCTAACTATATGTCTGTTCCTTACACTAATAAAACTCTTTTTAATAATGAAATCAGATTCTCTAACATGCAAAATTATCCTTGGCGAAAACTCTAAATATTATGCAACTTGAATCACTTTCATACACCAAAAAGAAACAGATAAAGTTATGGAGTCATATAAAAACTGAATTGTACCTCCTGCCACATGGGGGGGGGGAGATTTTGATTTGCACAGAGAATGATTTTATCAACCGACTCCAGATTTACTTGCGATGCAGTTATGCAATTAGAAGCAATAAATGCATCAGTATGATATTTCTCCTGCCTTCCTAGTATGCCTTCATGTGAGGCACACTCAGCCGGTATTTCAGAGGTCCGTGTTCGATTCCCGACGAAAGCGTTGCTCATTTTTCATCTTGCCTGCTTCCAAAAAATACCAAATGTCTCTACACATCATATAAATATTTATGCATGAGAACTTTAAAATAGTTTAGTCACATAACTATACTAATAATCAGCTAGATTAACAAAGTGATTTATTTCCAGTTAATACTGAATGGCTGGCATCATTCCTCTCTGCAGAAAAATTATACATACATTGCACAAAAATTCTGAAATTTAGCATTTTTATGAATGGCAATTTATGAGCTCTGCTTATATCTTTACATTTCGTCTGTTAAAAAAAAGTATCTTTTAGGAATTTGCATTCAAAATACAAATATTTTGATTATGCACATAACTTACCTTGGCACAACTTGTATGCAGTTCTGAAGTTTCCAACTTTTAATTAATGAGATCCTTTGTTTGTAAATTGTTTAACAATTTATAATTGGTTTTTGTGAGCGAACATTACATTTACAAACCTTCTACTATACATACACTATATTTATTTCATTAAAAATGTAACAGAGAACTCACCTGGATTTGAACTTGTACTGCTTTCACCAGCGGAGTTGGAATCACCTTCTAATACACTAGTCTATTAAAAATATCATAATAAGTAAGGGAAAAAAATTGTCTTTCTTAACACTATCAACAACTGATGAATGAATGTAACTTACTAAAGGCATGTCTCGGCTTTCACATGAAGAGGATGGGGAATCTGTAAATACACATAAAAATAAATTTTCAGTATTACCATATATTTTTTAAATTGTACTAGCTGGGTAACCGGAAAATTTAAGTATTTCATATGCACAGTTTAGGCTATCTTTTAGATTTACATAAAATGTTTTATTTAAATAAAGTATCAATTTTGTAATCATAATAAATCATTTGAAGTTACTCCAATATAAAATTTTATATTGCTATTTTAGAATGAATCTGAGGCCATTAAATTAGTGTTTATATTGTAAAGAATATTTTTTTAAATATTCGATTCGATAACCTTTTGTTCTGGACTATAAGAGTACATTCTGATTTCCGTAACAGAAGAGCTTTTCATAAAGTTTTCCAGAATATTAATTTCCATTCCTCTTCCACTACTTTCCAGAGTTCATCAATCATGGTGCATTTGCATTTAAAAAAGAAAGAAATCTTTTCCAAATGCACAATTGTCCATAGGTGAAACATCAGGAGAATTTGCAGAATATGCTGAAATGGTATAAATGCAATTCCTGTATCATTCTGTTGAGAAATGCAGTGGAAATTTTCAAGTATAACCTGTTGACAAATGTGTCTTGATGAAGTTTCGCTCTCTAAAAGCCACTGGGATAAGGAAATGGAATTCCTTCTCTAAATACCAGAGGTAAAACTTTCTCTTGATAGCAAGTTAAGTTTATTTTAACATTTCCCCTCCCCCACTCTTCTTATTTTTAATTTTCCATTGTAAGAAAATCCTTTAACAATGATAAACCTTTTGCTGAAGCTTTCCTTACATTGACGGAACTAGAACTGTACACGCTTTTCCCCTTTGTTTTCCATAATATATAGACCTTTTCTTGTTGCAGTCATTTAGGTAAAGCCATGCTTTGTCAAGGCTCACAATGTATTTCAATTTACTTCCTGCTAAACAGATTTCATATATTTTTCTGTGTTGAGCCACATGCCATTGACAAAAGATAGTGAACATTGCGGTTTTTTTTTTTTTTTTTTTTTTTTTTTTTTTTTTTTTTTTTTTTCTAAAGCCCTTTTAAGTTGTATATCTTGGTTTATTACTTATTTATTGTTGTTACAAATGTATTTAAAGACTTTAACATTGATTTCTTCAATGGTGGATTTTTCTCTTGTTACTGACAATTTAACTTTAGAAACAGTACATACCTTTTTCAGGTATTTGTTTGGAATCTTTTTATGTAGAAGAAATGATTGACAGTTTTCTTTTTCTATTTAATAACTTATATTTTGAAATTTTAATGCTATGCATTTCACAACATTTTGAATTATGGAATAGGACTATTTCTCTTTGAAAAACACAAAAACATATCTTTCAATCCACAGCTTCTTTACATGAGATATTTTGAGAGAAGAAGAAATTAAAAAATAGCAGATCATATTTCTCATTTCAAATAAAAAGCTGTTGCCAGAAATCTTTACATTCCAAAAACTCTGTTAAAAAAATCTTTACATAAATCTTCTATAAATGTATAAACACCCACTGTATATCGTTAAAGAAACAGGATGCAGCTTATACACACATGCAGCATATACACATAAAAGTACTACAATTTTTTCTCTTGAAAATCTAGAATTAGAGTTTCTAAACTTTTGGGATTCCAAAGCCTTGTTTAGAATCTCTTCTTTTTAGCAGAACCATTTTATGTTTTACAAGTTAATTTAAGAATAATATATCAAAGGTATAGAAACGGTGTATATGGTAAGGAAATACCCGAACAGCTGAGCAATTTACATGAAACAATATTATATTTCAGAAATTTTAAATCTACCTTCGTATCTCAATTTATTCTTAATGCCACATAAAAGTTAGTCATACATGAAGTTTACCCACCCTCTCTTAAATTAAACCAACTTGCATCACAACAGATATTTTGCATTATTGTCAAAAGCATCATCAAGTTCATTATAATAAATTCACTTCCTGCTAATTAATCATTACATGCAATTCAATTCAAAAGCATATTTGTTCATTACAACTATTTATAGAAGACAACCATGATTTATTCTTACTATTATAGAACTTATAATGGAATTGTAAGCGTAAATTAACACATAGCATTAAAAAAAAAATTAGGTTTTCGTTTACAGTACCCATTCAAAATCATTCAACTCAAACCCATTCAAAATTTTTCTCTTGAGCTGACAAACAACTAGTTCAAATGAATCTTTCAAAGCTTCGAGATGCACCTGAGCATTTCTATGTTTTTTCTTGAATCCTGATGTTTTCTTTCAAGGAGGTTTCTCTAAGAAGACACAATTATTATTCTTTCTTATGTGGTCCAATCCATACATAAGCTTCTTCTTTTTAAGGCTTTTGTTTTGGCCTCCTTGGTGATTTGTGCCCAGAGGGCGCACCGCACAAAAAGTTAGTTGCGTTACAGAACGTAAGGGAAGCGGACACGCCAAAATGTCGGCCGTATTACCGCTAATTGAGGTAATTGCATCGTATCTGTTAGGTGGCAGAAAACAAATATGATGTATCAATTCACATGCCAGGTGGCAGAATATGTCTATCATGTACATGCCAGGAGGCATAACGCTTGTAAACATGCCAGGTGGCATACGACTTGTAAATAAATTGTAAATAAATGTACAGTAAAATATCTTGGTGCAATAGATCAAGGAACAAGCATCAACAACCTTCTGATCATTTGGATACGTACATTTTTTTCTGGTGACACCGGACTTGATTTGTGGAGATGAAGAATGGACGAAGAAAATTAGTGAGTTCATGACTGAAAAGCCAGGATTTAACGCGAAGAAATTCGAGGTAGGCCCTTTTTCATTTTTCCAGTTTTGAATAGAATTGTTGAATAAAAATCTTGGTGATTATTATAGTTGATAGAATCTAATGGTAAAATGGAGGCTATGAATAAGGCAAAGAAGTTGCGTACGGTGACGCGTAACTTAACTACTAAGTTGATGAGTAAAATAGATTCTGCATTGTTAGAAGAGGGTGAAACCGCGGATGAGAAATTAAAAGAATTACTCGAAATGTTACTTGAAAAATCGCAGTTGTTGAAACAATACGATTCTGAGATTGAAAAACTTATAATTACGGAACAGGAGTTGGAAACAGAAGTAATTTCCGCGCAGGAATATCAGGAAAGAATTATAAGTTTTAAATGTAAAATTCAGGAAAAATTAAGAAAAAACGCGTGTAAAGTTGAATCTAGAAATTCTAGTGAGGAAACTATATCCCCGAAGTTGAAAACTTGTGAAGTTAATACTTTAAAATTGCCAAAATTAACGATTACAAAATATTACGGTGATCCTTGTTCTTGGCTTGAATTCTGGAATCAGTTTAGTAATTCCATTCACCAAAACGAAAGTCTCAGTTCGGTTGACAAGTTTTGTTATTTAAAATCGCTTTTGGGAGGTTTAGCTTTAAATGCTATTAGTGGATTAACATTTACTAGTGAAAACTATACGGTGGCTGTTGATATACTAAAAAACCGTTTCGGCAGAGATGACCTGCTAATTAATGCGCATATGAATAAATTGTTGAGTTTAGAACCTGTAAAATATTCCGGAAATACGGCTTCTTTGAGGAAGCTTTATGACGATATAGAAATACAAATAAGGAATTTAAATTCTTTAAATGTTACTAGTGGTTCTTATGGACATTTATTATCCCCTATTTTGTTAAAGTTAATACCCGAGAATTTAACTCTAGAATTCACTAGGAAAAGAAGTGATAAACAAAATTTCGATGTTAATGAACTACTAACGTTCTTGAAAACGGAAGTGGAATGTAGGGAAACATCAATGATGTTAGCGCGTTCTAAGAATTTTGATGTAAATGAAACATCAATACGAAACAAAAGTTCCCATCAAGGTTATCAAAATAAATCTTACATGCATTCTAAAAGAAATGATTACAGTACGAATAAGCAAGGTGCTTCGGTATTAACTAGTCAAAGCGAAACTCCCTCTAAATACTTTCAAAAATCACATTTTAATCCAAATCGAAAGTTCTCTACCCCGCCTAAGAAAGAGAATCAAAATGTCTGCATATTTTGTTTATCTGCTTGTCATATGAATCATGATTGCGCACTTGATTTAAAGGCTCGCCGAAAGGCATTAATGGATCGAGGTTTATGTTTTATTTGCTTTTCGAAAGGGCATCCAAGGCGTTTCTGTGCTCATAAAGATGAAAAATGCAGACTGTGCAATGTCCAAGGTTTACATAATTCGTTAATATGTGACGCCGCATCAAAAGGTTTAGAGACGGATACTTCCAATCAGACAAAACAAACGCCAATCCCTGAAGCTTCTCTTTCGCTCTTATGTAATGGAAATAATAACAAAATTAAACCACCGACTTCCGTTCTTTTACAGTTCGAATTAAACTCTTAATGCAAACTATGTGGGAAAAGGGTATTCAATGGGACAAAAGTGTTCCCCTTGATACAGAATTCATATTTCAGGAATGGTTAAAAGAAGTTGAAAAAATAAAGTTTTTCGAAATTCCCAGACAGTACTTCAGTGATATGTGTTGGAAGTTAATAGAAGTTCACATATTTTCTGATGCCAGTCCCAAGTGTTATGGTGCCATAGCATATTTTAGATTTAAGAAGAAAAATAAATGTAAAACAAGTTTCATAGTGTCGAAATCCCATTTGGCTCCATTAAAAAGGGTAACACTCCCTAGGCTTGAACTTTTGGGGGAACATTAATTTCTGCAAGATTAGGTTCGTATTTGCAATCGATATATTTCCGCAGTTGGATAAGGGAAATATATTTTACTGGACTGATTCCCAAATTTGCATTCACTGGATCAAGGGATCTGCCAACGAGTGGAAACAATTTGTTAGAAATCGTGTGGTAGAAATCAAGGAGAAAACAATTTTAAACAAACTGGTACTTTTGCAGTGGGAAGACAAACCCTGCTGATAAACTTACGAGGGGATGGATGCTGAAGCTCTAATTAATGATAGTGATTGGTTTTCTGGGCCACCCTGGCTTTCAGAAGTAGATATTCGACATCACATAAACGAAATGAATACCGAAGCTGACTTGCAAAACGTTAGTGAAGAACGTAAATGTGTTACTTTGAAAACACTTGTGGAATCTACAGAACCGTTACTAAATCTTGAACTGTACGGAAATTTAAACCAAAGTACTGGGAATAATGGCTTATGTTCTGCGCTTCGTGAACAACTGTAAATCCGCTCGTGAAAAGCAATCTGGTGTGCTTAACGCCTATGAGTTACGGAAGGCTTCAGAATTATTATAAGAAATGTTCAACTTAATGAATTTTCAGAAGAAATTAAAGCTTTAAAGACAGAACAACCGATTAAAACTAAAAGCAAAATCATTTCACTTAATCCATTTCTAGATGAAAACGAAATTTTAAGAGTAGGAGGTAGATTAAGAAACGCAGAAATTACCAGAGAAAGTAAACATCCCATTATATTGCCAAATAATAATCACTTCACAAAATTAATGATACAGCATTATCACAAAAAACATTTACACGGAGGGTTGCATTTAATGTTATCCGCAATAAGACAGAAATACTGGATAATAAGTGCAAAGAATGAAATTAAAAAATGCATTTGGAAATGCATAAAATGTTGCAGAGTACGAGCAGTAACATCTATTCAATTAATGGGAGAACTACCTGCAAGTAGAGTGATTCCAAGTAGAACCTTTTCAAAGGTTGGCGTTGATTATGCCGGCCCATTTTCTGTGAAAATGAAAAGGGAAGAGGTATAAGACCAATTAAATGTTATCTCTGTATTTTCGTTTGTTTAGCTACAAAGGCTATCCATTTAGAGATTGCTAGCGACTATCAATCAAGTGAAGCATTCCTAGCTGCTCTAAAACGATTTGCTTCGAGGAGAGGAAAACCTCAAGAAATAAGAAGTGATTGTGGAACTAATTTTATAGGTTCAAATAAAATCCTCAAGGAAGCAGTTTCATCTGTCCAGTCAACCTCAGAATTTCAAAGGTGGTTAGCAAATGAAAACATAAGGTGGATATTCAACCCGCCAGCTGCTCCACATCATGGTGGTATATGGGAGGCAGCTGTTAGATCTATGAAGCTGCATCTAAAGAAATGTGTTGGAACTCAAATTTTGACTTATGAAGAGTTTCTAACTCTAATTGCACAAATTGAAGCATGCTTAAATTCGAAGGCCAATAACACCGGTCTCCAGTGATCCCAATGATTTGACAGCTTTGACTCCTGGACACTTTATTATAGGGACTTCTTTAACAGCTGTTCCGGAACAAGATTTAACCGAAGTACGAGTGTCTCCATTGCAAAGATGGCAACTAACACAGCAGATGTTCCAAGGGTTTTGGAAGCGGTGGTCTAAAGAGTACCTGTGCCAACTACAGCAGCGTAGCAAATGGAGACAGCCTAGCAGAAATATTCGTCTAAATGACTTGGTTCTCATTAAAGAAGATAATATGCCTTCATTACGTTGGAAACTCGGGCGAGTAATAGAAGTGTTTCCTGGAAGAGACAATAATGTCCGAGTGGTTAGACTAAAAACTGTGGACGGGGACATTAAACGTCCTATTACCAAACTGTGTCTTTTGCCAGTTGAAGAACATTAACTTAAGTGTTTGTTTCATATTGAATATGTTTTATTATTATTTTCATTTCTTATTGTACTAATAATTTTATTTGTTTGTTCTAGTTTAACCCTCATAGTTAACGTTTCAATATAGTAAGATATAAGATGTTTTGCTAGAAGATTGGTAAGTGTAACATGTAATTTTATACTTTTTGAAGGTTTTTGTATGTTTTCAGTTTCTATATTTTTCATTTACTTGTTTGCATATATTGAAGATTGTATTAAGATGAATGTAATTCATCGGGGGGGGGGGAGGATGTTTTGGCCTCCTCGGTGATTGCGGTGATTTGTGCCCAGAGGGCGCACCGCACAAAAAGTTAGTTGCGTTACAGAACGTAAGGGAAGCGGACACGCCAAAATGTCGGCCGTATTACCGCTAATTGAGGTAATTGCATCGTATCTGTCAGGTGGCAGAAAACTAATATGATGTATCAATTCACATGCCAGGTGGCAGAATATGTCTATCATGTACATGCCAGGAGGCATAACGCTTGTAAACATGCCAGGTGGCATACGACTTGTAAATAAATTGTAAATAAATGTACAGTAAAATATCTTGGTGCAATAGATCAAGAAACAAGCATCAACAACCTTCTGATCATTTGGATACGTACAGCTTTATACCCTAGGAATGATAGATTAATTTTTCTCATTTCATTAAACCTTTTGGACAATTTAAGTCTTCATCATTTTAAATCGTTAGCCAATACGGCTTAATAGTTCATTAAAAATACTTCTACCTGTACATATAATTTTATCAAGTGCAGCAGGAAGAACTTAGGTGGCTAAGTTTCAAGAAGCTTTGAAGAGTTTCCAGGAATTCAAGATGATGCATTTCCATGTTCAAAATGCAATGAATTTCTGGTTTTTGCAATGAAATGAATGAATCAATGAATTTCAATGCAATGAATTTCCGGAATTTGAAATTTCCGGTTTTTATTCTATTTTTGTTTCTTATTCTTTAATTTCATTCAGTTATATATATATTCTTTAAAGATTCTTTATATATATACAGAAGGGTATTCACACATTTTTAAAGCAGAAAAGTTGTTCTAAAATTATGTAAACAGTAAATGTTATTCAGTAAATGTAACAGTAAAGTATGTTAACAATTATTCAACAGAATTCAAGACAGATGTTCCAAATAACTGCCTTTTTATCAAATAAAACACTAGTAAATATCTTTTTTAAAATACTGAAAGAAATGCAATAGCATTAGAAAAAGTCTGAGAATCTTTTTCAATGTATTCCAAAAAAACTGATATTTGAAGAATATGGAAGCGAATGCAAGACTTAGATTCTTCAATATTCTAATTATGTCACAAATTCTCTATGTGTGCTTGTGTTAAAAATTGGTTGTCCACACAACTTTAGAGAAGATTTTACACCTTTTCAATATTACAATATTAATATGTTAGAATATATTTCATAACTTTGCAAAAAAGAAAAAAAAAAAGTTAACATTTTTTTTTTTTTTTTTCTCAAATTCACTTCTACAAATTATACTTTCATATCTGTTTCATTCTCTGCATTAATTATTCTAGTTCCTAAAGTTAGTTTTATTCATTTATTTTTTAATTCTAATTTAGTCTAACTCTACATACCTATACAGTACTTTTGCCATTAGGTAGGAATATGTTTTATAGAATAAACCAGATCATTAGCAAAAGGAGAAAGAATCATTATCTACTTACACACTTCAGAATTAACATTTTTATTGCAATTTGTAACTTCTTTTAATTTCTTACTAGTTGTTGAAACCCCATCAAGAGATTGAACCTGTTAAAAAGAATAAAATAACTTAAAGGAAGTTCATTTTTAATACAGCAGTACCTCAAAGCTATGCAATAGGTGGGATTAGCAGAAAGCACACAAGTTGGGAGTCTAAGTCTGCCTTTGATCCTATTTTAGTTAAACAGGACCAAGGGCTAAAAAAACACATGCTTAGAAAAGCCTATAATAAAGAATGCAATTTTCAATAATAACAGTATTAAAATAATGATGCTTTGTAAAAAGAAGTTATTTCAATATTGATGACTTCATAAAATGTAACAAACTTTTCTGATGACTGAATAAATGATTTTAAAACTGGAGGGGAAAAAGGAGGAAATGAAGAATATCACACTCCCTTCTTTGCTTTTTCGTATCAATGAATAATATTATTACGTATTATCCACTCATTCACTGGATAATACTTAGGCATAATTAGTCAACGGGAAAAGTCAGTGTATATATATATATGTATGTGTTGTGTGTAATAATTCACTGTAGATGACTTGTTGATTCTCAGCTGTGCATCTAGAATGACAGACCCATGTAGATATCTCGAGGATTAGAAGATATATCATATAACATAAAAAAGGACAAGAAAAACTTTAGCAGAAGGGGCAATGATTCAAATATAGTTTTATTCTCGTAATTACAACAGAACCACATCAAATCTCAACATTATGGGTGCTCCACCTGTACTATTTTGAAAGCTTACATCTTTTTTAGATAAAAGAAAACAATAAGTGACTAGCAGAAGCAAGGTAAAGCAGGAAGGGAAGAGATGGAGTGTAGTTGTTTGCAGTGGTATTTATAGTAAACATTTTCTTTAATCTGATTGACTGTGAACTATACACAGTGCAGAAGGTTAAGGTGACATAATGCAGAATTAGTTTTCAGATATGATACAGTTTCAAAAAAAGTTATTACTATTTTTAGAACAGAGATGGAAAATTCCCAAATTAAAAAGAAGAATTAAGGCTATTTCTAATTTGAAGTATAATTTATAGTTTTATACATCTTACATACATACACATACATACACATACACATATATATATGTGTGTGTATAAAATTATTTAGTCAGAATGTATACTATATGTAGAAATGTATATACTCTGTGCTATACATAGAAATATACACTCTGTGAACACAGTTATATCTTAAAAGCAATTTTGAGGGACAGACAGCACTTAGCATAAGTTATTGCATTATAGCATATTATTTCTTTAAAGCTAGTTCTAATATGCAGATAGAGTAATGTTTCGTTTATCAGGATTTTATGAATTACTGACAATATCAAACACAAATTAATTACAAGCATAAATATGTAAAATAAAATAAGAAAAATTAATGACCAAGAGACTTCAAGTTCCCATAAGTTGGGGCATTGCAGTATGTTATTAAGGCAATTATATAAAATAAAACTTACCGAAAGTACTTGATTTTTATCTGTAGTTAAAAAAGAAACACCTACAAGGCAGAGAAAAAAAAAAAAAAAAAACTTGAATGAAAAAGCAAAATTAAACTCAAAATTAGTACACACGAATTGGTTATATTTTTATGTTACAACATTATTAAAATCTAAATGAAAATATATAGGTATATTTCTTAAGTAATCATTACGAGAGTCATATTCTATTTACATTTTCCCTTTAAATAGCAAATTTTAAACATTTACATTACTAATTAATAATTATAACAATTACTTAAACGAGATTCCTAATTGTGCTAATGATATACATAATCATAACTCACAGAGAATAAATGAAAAACAGATTACAAGGCACATGATTCAGTACTAAATTCAGAAACAAATAAAACTATAATAATATGAAGCAATGAAATTATAAAGGGGGTATTCTTGTAAGATTTTGAAGGTGTGAACTTTACTCCTTCACTAATATTGTTTGCAAGCCACTGAAGTCTCTGAAAGCAGAATTTCACCACAAAACAGCTCTTATAAAGATGTCTCATAAATTTTCAGTAATTTTATCATTCACTAAATTCAATTGTCCAGTTCATTGGTTCAATGCCTTTGATTTCAAGAAATTCATTAACCAGATTTTCTTGAAGCAGATGCATGTTATCTTTAAAAAAAGAAAGTTCAACTACACTTGTACATATAAAGATACTGGACATCCAGATTTCAGACTTTGTATTGTAGTTTTTTCCCCTCTCTTTCACTAACTGCTTGAATGGCCATTCTCTTAAAATAGTTATTATAAAGAGAAATATGTAATTATTTTAATGAATCCAGCTAGCATAATTTCATGGGGCCTGCTAGTAATTAATAATATATATAGGATTATAAGATTTCACCTTCACATCTCAGCAGATACAAACCATCTGCTCAAATGTATTTTCCTGATCCAACTTTTCTTTAACTATCATTCATCAACATACAGACTATTAAGGTTTTTCTTATTAAATCTTCTAAATGCAATTTGTTGCAGTATAAATTTTCTGTTGGGCAGCTACAACTGCAAGCTTAGCATTCAGAAATCAGGTTTGAGAAGTACAGTTTAAAGTCCAAAATCTGAAATCGTCAGTTTTCCAATTTTGGAAATTTCTTGATTTTAAATCATATGTTTTAATTTAGTGAGACGATATGTTGACATCATAAAATTAAAAATATGAAATAGTTGTTTAGGAAATAATGAAGCAATTATAAAATGAAGGGGGTCAAAATTTACAAAGAGCTCAATATTTATTTGTTTGTTTCATTAAATACTTCTTTCAATGTAAGTGATACTTTCTCTTTAATCTTACAGACGTAATTTCTTGTTTAGTTACAAAGTTCTGTTTAGTTCTGTAATTGCCATATCAAGAACTCCCACTAAACTGTCCATCAAAATCTTTTCATACTCCCAACTCTTTGTCACGTTCTTCACTATTAGTAGCAATATTTTCTGGATTTGAAATCACGTTACATATTTCTAATGAACTTCTGTTATATCATCTTCATTTACTACCATTTCTTTACAAATGTCATGAACTGGAAAAATTTGCTGTCCATAGAGTTAGAAAAATCAATGGTAAACTAAGGTTGTTGCTTTCCCCATTTTGAAATCGCACTTTCTTAAGCGCAAATTGTGCTAATGCTGTTTATGTGTTCAGCTACTGATCCTGCAACAGTTCCAGAATTAGAAAGACATAATCAAAGCAATAATTTTTTGACATAATCAAAAATTCAAATTTTAATATTGATAAGATAGCTGTAATAATGATATCCAGCAATAAAGCAAGAAGCCGCATAAAATTAGATAAAGGTGTGCAATTTGCTATTGTTGCAAAATGTCCAGCTGCGGTGAGATATACTGTGAATTACATTCTGAATACATACTGTGAATTACATTCAATTTATTTTGAATGTTTGTCAAGAAGTTATCTTTTTACTTGCAAGTTAGTGGAGTTTTGTGTTTGTTAAATTTAAGTTGTGTAAGCATCAGGTTGATGGGTTTTGTGATACTTCCAGCTAAGAAGCAGGGCTGTGCAGTAGGTAGGGAAAATAACCGCTTCCGACTCCTGAAATTTTAATGACTCTGACTCCGACTCCCTCATATATATACATGTAAACATATACACATGGGTTACAGCTTATTTTCTTAATATAAAAGAAGTAATAGATGCTACAGAAAAAAACTGATGGCATAGCAAATTATTTATATTAATTAGCATTTATTATGAAATGGAAAAACTGGCATTAGTTATTTCTAAGAAACAGTATAGTTTCGGCAAGATTTTCTTTGTTGGAGGGCCATAGATCGGATTTCATAAACTTGCTGAGAACTTTCCATACTAATCTGAATAGGAGGAAAAGCTGTTACTGTTAGGGTTACTTCTTTTAACTTCTCAGGATAGATTTTTATAAGTGTCTTCCAAGCGCAATCATATTTCTCTATTTCTTCAAAGGCCGTGTAGAAAACTTGTTTGTACTTTTTCATTTTTATATCTAAAGGCTCTTGTTTTTTATTTTCATTCTGTTTGCCTTAGCCTTTTCAATATTATCCAAACATATTTCTCAAAATCTAATTCATCAATGGAAAAGGATGATAGACACTCAATTGCAATGTCTGCAGTTTGACTGTCCTGATTCAAATTCTCCAATTGTTCTGAGAATAATTTCATTCTTAATGAGAGTTCATAGATGACTTTCTTTGCCTTTTTAATTTGTTCGTCATCCAAGAAAATTCGGTGTTTCGGATCTCCATATATTGAACCCAGCAAGATTTCATTGTCTAGCAAACTAGTTTCTTTTTTCTTCATTGAAGAAATGATTCCTTCTGCAATAAACCCTCCATTTCAGAAAGAACAAACATCACATTCTTCCATTCTTGCCTCCTGTAAATTCTTCAGATTGCAGCTTTTTTGTGGCTATATACAGTATAGAAAGAAGAATTTCCAAATCTGCAAGATCATTCCACAGTCTTTCTGTTAGTGAAGCATTAGTGTTATCTACATCTCCTAAACATGTTCTTAATTCTAAAAACCTCTTTATCATCAAATATGTACTTCCTTATCACATTACTTGATCAATAATTGCTCCTTTTCCTGCTTGCTTCCTAAGAATGGCATCAATTTTAGCAGTTCTTGCTGCTATTGCTGCATACCTAAATTTATCAGTGAGATTTGTAACTAAATGAATCAGTTTAAACACTTATGGCAAATATCACATCCATCCTCTTCCCTTCTACAGTACAAGGTCCAAACCTCCATTATCCAGAATGATCTAAAATCCGGACCTCAAAACCACCACCGTTTCCTTGCATGCACATTTAATTCCCCCTTATATTTATTTATTAATAGGTCAATAAAATAGAAAATAACTATTTATTAATGTATACAGTCCATAAATAAGAATAATAACTCAGTTTGTCTTTTTTTTTTTTTTTTTTTTTTTTTTCCAATTCATTTAAATTTCATTTCAAATTCAAACTTTCCAACGAAAACTGGAGTCAGAGTTGACCTATTTTTAGTGACTCCCGCTCCTCCTTTTATCCCAAAATCTGCCCAACTCTGACTCCACAGCCCTGCTAAGAAGTCAGACAGAACATGTTGATCAAAATTACAACATAATATAATAGTAATTACTTATCTTAAGATGAGTAAACCAAAAACGTTTTTCCCATCATACATTAATAAGTTGTAGAAGTTTAAAAATTTTTCAATATTTATCACAGAAAAGAGGAATATAATATTTAAGATTACCAACTACATACTTTTTTTTTTAAAGGGGCTTTGTCCCTGAAGAACTATTGTTTTCGTTTTGCGATTTTGTGTTGAATCACCATAAATGTTTGTTTCACTTTTCAAAATGTTGTCACCAAATGTCAGAGTCCTTCATTATATTTGAACAAATTAAATAATGAAAAATCTGCATAAATGTATGTATATTTCTCGCATTGTGATAAAACAACGGTACATAGAGCCATCTAATTTTTAATGGCGTAATCCTCCTACAAAAATGGGTATATAGAAGACGAAATTTGAAATTTTTTTTATTATAGATTTCATATTTTGTAAAACTTTAACGAATTTTTGAGTAACAAACTGAACGATTTAAAAGCGAGCAATGGCAACACTCTACAGGGTGAGGTGGGGGACTTTTTATCTCTAGTATGCGGAATTGTGTATCGGAAATTCCAAAGATATGCTCATTTTTAAATTATTTTGCGACATTGCTATTGAACTGAATTTTATGGTTTAAGTGCAAAGAACATGATATTTAATAAATAAAGGTAACACACAAAACACCCATTTAGATGTAATTTAAAATCTGAAAGCTTTCAGATTTTTTTTTTTTTTTTTTTTTTTTTTTTTTTAATATTACATTACATCATTTTTAATGGAACTTCAAATAAATTAACTATGAAAACTGCACTATAAAAATATACTATATGCACTGCACTATAATATATACTATAGTATGTACTGCACTATAAAAATGGATTAATGGAACTTTCAGAAACTTAACTTTTGTCCAATAATAGCTAGTTTTCTATTCTCCAGTAAAACTGAGACATATTTATAATAAGTACAAATGATGCATTTCACTTAAAACAGTTCTTACTATGAATGGAAAGAACTGCTTGCTTGTTATTCTTGAGAGGAGAGGGGAAAATGAGGAGTTGGGGCCTATGGCCAACACTACTGTCATATGTGAACATTTGTATGAAAATCTGTAAATTTTGAAATTAGTTAGTTACAGTATTGGAAGTCTGCAGCTCCTTTTATGCATACCTTCAACTCCATTTTTTATAAAAAGTTGGAATCAAGCCACCTGAGACCTAGTCTTCAGAATATTATATGCTAAGGATTTTTAAGACACCAGATATTTTTAAAAATTAATTTTTTCCTCCTAACTATGCGGCTTTTGTCTCTCCAACTTTCTTAAAGTTTTTAACATTGCTAAATTTAATTTGGCCTCTTTATTATTGATTTTTTTTCATACACAAAAATACTCTCAGTTTTATAAATCACTTCTATTTACAATGTAAAAAACAACGTTATTGCATATGATAAACAAGAGAAACAAAGTAAATTTCAATTTCTAATGTTTATTAGATAAATATATTACACTATGTAACAATAAAATTTTAACTATATTAAAATATGCATGAAAGAAAAGTAACCAATGGTACATACCCGAATTTACACATTTACTGTTCTGTAAAATAGAGCTGGCCCATCCTTTAAGGCATTTTACCTTTAAAAAAATAATTAATGAATAAAAAAATAAGCAATATAAATATATCAGAAAATGCTGAAAGAATTATTCAGAATTACTAAATGAGAAATTGCTTACCAGTTTTTCATGTTTGTCTTCTGAAGATGAGGAATGACCTACATAAAATTTTTAATTTAGAAATATTACTGGGCAGTTAGTATATTCTAAATAAAAACAGGGAGAAAAATCTTTAATAAAAAAGAGCGAAATGTTGATCCAGACTGTGAAAAATTTTAATCATCATCCCTATTTCCCACTTGGGGTCAAGTAAATAAGGCCATTTAAAGCTAGCAGGTTTTTGAAATCTGGATTTAAAGCTTCGTAAATGAGGTACCTGAATGGATTTCTTCTTACATAATGTAAATACATTACTTCTTACATAAGCAATTTTCCCTGGAAAGCCCACAACAAAGATAGACTTTACCAAAGTGTTGATCAAGATCCTATGGAATTGCATACCACTCTTATAAAAGTACACTTTTCAGCCCTGGAGGTTCTAGGGAGGAGTTTGGTGCACTAAGGCATCCCACACATGCTCGATCACATTCAAGTCGGGTGAGTAAGGTGGTCAATCCTTTTGAGTGATATCTTCTGTTTGCAAGTATTTTGACACCATATATGTTCAATGAGTCTGAGAATTGTCATCCATTAACAAAAATTCTGGGCCAAAAGCATCCCTAAACAGCCTAACTTTTGGTTCCAATATCTTAACCACATATCTCTGAGTGATTACAAAACATTTTTGAAAGCTAATGCAGCTCGGTGCGGCAATTTGTCATGATTTCTCCCCAGACAATTAAACTGCAGTCGTGGAAACGATATTCATGGACAAGAGAAGGCAAGTTGCACATTCCTTCCTCTCTCTAGATCAAAACACATCTAGAATCACTGTTCAGACTGTAAGAGAACTCATAAGTAAGCAATACTCATGCCCAGTTATCTTGGTTTCCCTGATCATGACAATGGTAACACTTTAAATAGGGCCCTCTGAAAGGTAGAGTGAGTGGGCCACAAACCATTGGCTTTCTCGCATACAGTCCAACCTTGTTAAGCCTTCGTGCTGCAGTAGAACGACTAATTTTGAGTTCCTGTGGCAGCCTCAAGATCTAAAACCAAATCTCTTCTAGTAGCTTTGCAATTTTCTCAAGCCAACAAGAACACAAAATGGTCTTCTGATGCAGTTGTTGCTGTTATGCCCTTGACCAGGCTGTCTGTTAACTGATCCAGTGCCTAAGGCTCCAAACACTTGATATGACACTTTGAGGGATATTCAAATCTTGGATGACCTCTATTTGTTTTTGACCTCTCTTGATTCTACCAATTATTTGACACTTTTGACCTTCACTTTAATGATGCCTTTGAGCCATAACTACAGAATACCGATCACTCTCAGAAACCATATTCCCTTTAAACAGCACTAAAGACTGGAATTCTAAGATGCGTCCATTGCACACCCCGTTGTCAATCACCGAATTTGCCTATTTCCAGCACTAGCATATGTGCAACTTTGTGTACAGTTGTAGTTAATTAACATAAATAATTACAGCATATGGCACTGGTTGCAACATTAACTTAGTGAGCATATTTTTTTTCATTATCCTTTAATTTCAATCAGTATAGCATCAAACTTATGCAGTTAATATATAAATGTTTCACACAGTAAATTAAAATTTTGTTTATGCCTTTTTCATTTATACATTATTTGTGAACAGTCCCTTGAAAGACATGTAAATAGTGTTCCACTGTATTTACATTCACTACTGCAATAGCTCATATGAAACTTCCCTCAAATTATGTACATTTGATGCTTGCTTATTATTATTTCATTTATGATTTTTTAGCTTTATGATCGCATAAAATCATTACGCAATAAGCAGAAGTCCTGTTCTGAATCTCAGCTGTTTTTGAGTCAGCTCTTAGACTTGCATGGTACAAATGGGCACTGACAAGCTGATACAAGCTGCTTCGTCTTACTATGCTGAAATGCATTAAAAAAAAATCTATACTCAAAACTTGATTACTTTTGCAAACAGAACTATGCATGCTGCAAGAGACAAACAGTGTCAATGCCCCAGTGTCTTCTATTAGTCACCTCAAATCTCACCAGAAGTACCCTATTTACCAGAGTACAAGATGCAACCCCTTTTGAAAAATGCTGCCTCAGAACAGCATGCATATGCATTTAGATATCATGATTGCTTATTCCTTCCGTGCAGACTGTTATGCAGATGTGCCAGCATGAAACATGCTAACTTCCCAGCTAGTATGCCACAGTGACAAGGCATTTTCTTGTTCACCCGTGCTCATCACACATTCACATCATAGTTCTGGAATGTTTTAGAAACTAATATATATATATATTTTCACAGCATGGCATTACATGTCCATAGGATTTGAGATACATGTAGATTTGGCCTTCTACTCAAAATGAGACAAAGCTGACTTGCCCAGATTTGGATTTTGATTATATAAACATAACGCAAAAGGCATGTTCTGTATTCACAGGCTTTATGACGGCCTTCCAGCACTTAAGAGTCAGAAATCAAACTTTGATACTAAAGTCTATAGTTACTTTCTTCACTATTAAATCATTTAGTTGGAAGCTTTATATCTTAGAACTGTTCATGGTATAAATAACGCACAGACTCTGATTCATTATGAAGTGGATTATTTTGCATTTGAAAGACCTGATTCTATTTAATCTAAATTATTCCATTCCTTTTCAAATTCAAGTTTTCATGCCCATAATTTTTTTATATACAGATATTATAAAAATAGTCTCCCAAAATAAAAGTTTCTAACAGGCTACCAATTATCTGAATGTAATAGTAGACTAGAAGAGATTACTTTTCTTTTTAAAATCTCCTTGAAAAATAAGATGGATTGCATGATGAAAAATTCAGATGAATCAAACTGAAGATCTTTCACAGTAGCATCTATGCCATGCAGTACACAAAGCTAAATACTTCAGACGTTTTTTAAATCCATGATGCTTTCAGATACATATGTTAATACTGAGTAACCACATAGCCATACCACATTTTGATTTCATAGCATTAAATATATTAAATGAGGTTTTGGAAATGTTATTATAAAACTGCATTTTTGCATAAGTGATTTTTCCATTGTTAATGCAAATCTTCAGAATCCATTTAAATTATATGCATTTTATTCAGAACAGTTACATGTTTGCAGTCAATAGATACAATTTTTAAATTGCACATAGTTTAAAATTTAAAAGAAGAGAAAAATTAATAAAGTATTAATTAATTTGTGTTTACCAAAATTTATAACCAGTGATCAAGAATAGTTTGTTAATGCACAAGAAAACAGAAATTTTAATGCTGAACTTCAACAGGCAGAAAAAAAAAAAAATGCTGTTTTGGGTTAGAATTACAAAAATAAGAATCACTTAATAATCACCTGACATATCTTTCATACCTTATTAAATTAAACTGTAAAGTTACATGTAAATAAAGTTATTTTGGCAGAGCCATTGAGAATTAATGAATGGGTGCATAAGATTTAGTGCTAAACTAGCTTCTTATTACAGATTACCAACTAAAGGACAGCAATTCCTTCCTTTTTTTTTTATATATGACGTATTAAACAAAAAAGTATACATCATCCATTATTCTATTATTAGTGGAATCTAAAGATATTACATCTTTTCACTCTGCTGAAACTTTTACAAGTGACTAAAATATTCTTTATATTTCCTTTATAAGTCTATGCATGCAAGATAAATGCAGAAAAAGAAGATATAACTGCTTATTTTCTTGCAACTTACCAGAGCTCGAATTATTCTGGATAACAGGGCTTTCAGAACTTTTTGGCTGTTATAAACAACAAGATAATTATTAAAGCAGAAATAAAAACAACCATAACAAGGCACAAAAACACTTGACAAAATATAGCTTACCAAAATTGTATGTCGTTTTACTGTTTCAGAATTGGAAAAATCTAAAAAATGAAATATATATATTTAAATATTAACTAGTATGAAAAGTTAAATATTTTCCAGTACAGTCAAAAGTTGTTAATCCGGACACCCATAATCCGGAATGATCTAAAATACGGACCTCAAAGCTACATACTTTCTGCGCATAATGCGTTCACGCATGCGCATAATACATTGACACATGCACGTTTAAACGTGCATGTGTCAACGTATTATGTACCGCATTAATGTATATTATGCGCATTAATACATTAATGTATAACGGTCAGTATAAGCTAAGCTCAAATTATCTATTTCAGTTAATGTTGCAGATTGCGTTATTCCTTAATCTTAGAATTGGATCCGGCTTATTATTTTTTGCAGACTGTTATAGCAATTTTATAAAAGTAAGCTTGAACTTTCTATTACGTCAAACAGAATTTCCGATGCTGGAGCTGCCAAAGGATCTACAAAATGAAAGTATGTTTCGATGTCCATCAAACAAAAAGGGGAATTGCTGCAAAAGATGGATAAAGGCATATCCTTTATTTCTCTAACCATTCCAAAATTTGTTTATCAATTTCACGCTGCTCTGCGGGGCGGGGACGTCGCGGCGCGCAATGAATTTGAAGTGGATCTGTCAGCATTATCCTTATCTTCAGGGCAGATGTTTTTATTTTATTCAGCTTATAATTCCTTACTAAATGTAGTATTTCATCTCGATGTATTCCATCTTTGATATGATTTAAATCAAATTCCTCGTCATTATAAATATCACAAGTACACATAAAATAGTTTTCTGGTTGCAATTTTCTAATTTCGATTATGTATTAATTAATGTATGCTTTATGCATGCGTGCGCTGAAAGAAATGTTTAGTAAAGTAAACAAATAAATATAAGTTTTTTTTTTTTTTTTTTTTTTTTTTTTTTTTTTTTTTTTGGTAAATTTTGATACCCTTTAGATCATAATTGGCTCTTTATTTCATAAATTACGGTTTCATATTTTTAATTTTATAATTTCTGCATGCCATCTTACAAGATTTAAACTGATGATCTATAATCCGGAATCGCTGAAGTCCCGACGAGTCCGGATTAAAGACTTTTGACTGTATAAATAATTTTTAAGCAAATAATTTTTAAGCATGCAATTAAAATGATAAATTGAGAATCCTACCTGAATTTAAACTAATACAATTCTCTACAACAAGGTTTGACTTCCTCTCATGATTTTCTGTCTGATAAAAACAATGCAAAAAAATAAATAACTGTAAGATTTAAAAAAAAAAAAAAATAATAATAATAAAAGATTCTAATAAATCACAGAAACTTGCATAATAAAAAAGCTTACCAATGGCTCAGTGGGTTCCTTTTTTATTATGGATGAAGAAAAATCTGTCAGACAAAATATAGCTTTTAAAATCACATAAAAATAAGAGATTAATCATTTACCTATTAAGTTCAATTACATTTAAAATCTGTTTAATCTGTTAATAACTATTCTATTTCACTATCATCTTGTTAAGGCAAAAATATACGTTGATAAAGTTTTATGAAATCCCTGGCCAATAAAACTAATTACTAGGCATATATATATATATATTAATTTCACCGTTCTTTACGTTTTCTAGTTACTAAAGCAAGAAATCGAACATAAATTAGAAGTAACCCAAAACGTTTATCGCATTTCCTTGTGTATTTCCCCCCTAGCTTTTTAGACCCAGGTTCAGAAATTTTTTTAAATTATTGGCAGGAAGGATTTAAAAAATTCTTGGCATGAAGAAAGAGGAAAATTCAGAAATTTTCCTCTTCCTTCATGGTTAGAGAAAACAAGCTCCTCTAAATTTTAAAATGGATTTCCATCTAGTGATTGTTTTCATCTTATTAACAAAAAGCAAACCCTCACACAATACCTGCGAAGGTCATCTCAAGCCTATCTCTTATGATGAATTTTATATGTCTGCTTAATTTAAGGACCGACTAATTCACAAAAAAGTTCCAGTTCACAATTTCATTCAGCTACACATTCACTTTCTCTATATATTTATGGATGATAAGAAGTAACAAAGACAACGATAAGAAAGGTTGGGATTAAAGTTACAGAGATGTAGAAAGGAAGAAATCTTATTAAATACTATAATGTGAATATCAGCTAGTGTTCTTAATGGAATACAGTTTTCCTTTAAAGAACTAATACTGTGATAGTTCCCTACAGAGTTATCCATGGCTATTTTTCATTTGCTGGATTCTTACTGTAATTGCAACCTCCAAAAATTTAATTATTTGCATAAAATTCCCCTCTTGACTTTTGGAAAATAAAATATGCGAGAAAATGCAGTATGTACAATTACTAATATAGCAGTTTTTTACTTCGGTTTAAAAAAAAAAAACTGTTTTACGTAGAACATCAAATTATTTGACATGTTCATAAAAATACTGAGGGGTGAAAAGAATTTTTTCAATCTCTGGATACATAGATAGCTAAACATTTATCGGGAAAGGCTGAGCTCATTGCTCGTTCAGCCATCTCATCACCAAGAATCAACCATGATGTATCATATAGCATGACTGAATAGGGAAAGTTGTTTCCCAATTTTGAAAAACACATAGTGGATGAAAACGAGGCTATCAAGAACTACTAGGAGAAAAAGTAAAAGTTCCCTGCAGCAAACATGGTTCTATCAGACTGAAGAAACACATTTTTAATATCCCTGAAGCTTATTTTACGGGGGCAATCCATCCTCACTCAGCACCTTTATGCACATGTGTGAAATAATTTCAGAAATAAAAAAATCTGATGTGTACACATGACTTCCATGTACATAATATTAAATTATACACATTTTTTTTTTCATTTCATTTAAACTTATTGGATTGAATTAAATCTACTTTTTCAATAGCATGTAAACACCAATAGAATAAATCCAAAAATTCACTATATTTGTTTACCATGGTGACACTTTGGCGCTAAGTTCACTTAACAGCATTACATTTCATTCATTTTATAACTCAGAATGCACAAAATTTATATCATCTGAAGAATTATCTAATTTGCCACATGTTCTATTCAAATATTATAATAAATCTAAAATGATGTATAAAATAAATTCAAGAAGCAGGAAAAAACCCAGTTTTTCAGAGACAATTCAGTATTTCTCATTCAATTAATTCAGTTCTAATGTTGTGACAAGTCAAAAATACATAAAAACTCAAAATATCTATATTAAAAATTACAAAGTCAATCTTGCACACTTATTTCCTAGAATAAATTCCAGAATGGATTAAGCATGATTAAATTCGCAATAATTAATGAAGGCATTATCTTTGTTGATGCGAAGCTTAGTTTCTCCAGATTGGCAACAAATCTACTATTCTGCTAAGTTTTAAGTGTAAACAAATATGGCAGTAAAACATTAGGCCTAGTCACACTTAAACAACTTTTAAATTGTTGATAATTTGACAACTATAACATGCAGGTTAATTAAAGGCATAAAAACCTTAACTGCAAGATAAGAACAACATAATTCAATCATTTTTAAGGCAAAAAACGCACAATTTACAAACATATAAGAATAAAGAAAAACTAAGCTCACTGAGCTGAGTAAACAGAGTGGATATATATATATATATATATATATATATATATATATATATAATATATATATATCATATATTTATATACTTTTTGGTATGGCTGATTGTAACCAAAATATGAGGTGCATCTAAATGTTTTATATACAAAATTTTAACATTCTGAGGGTACTTTTTTTAAAATTTTTTTTATTCATGCAAGATATGTATGTACGTACAGACACCACACAAAAGACTCTTCTGAATCCATGCTAAAACAGTTTTCTCATTCATTTTGGGAAAAAGAGTCCTTTATTCTGCCCTTACATGCAGATGTTACACAAAAACATCGTTAAATTGCATTCGATAGCCGTCAAAATGGATATTTTCATTCAAATATGGCACCCGAAATTTTTTACGATTACGATACTTCCTTTTTACTTCATACAAGGAAGTAAAAATCGGCATGCTTGCAAAAAATATTGGCAATATTTGACTGTGTTGTCTGAAGCTACAAAATATTTAAGTATTTGTGAAATTTATAAATAGATCTTACCGGATTGCAAGAAAATGATCACCATAATTCATCTGATTCTCTTTCTGTAAGGTAAGCTTGCCTTCTAAATCAGTACTTCTCAGACTTTAAGAATTCATAGAACACTATATTATATTGATTCTCAAGTTCCAAATATATTTTGGCTTTCATCATATAACACAGCAGATAGATTTTCATTTTTACTTAATTCATGCTTTGCATTATAGAATAACACTGAATATAACTTTGCATTATAGAATAACACTGAAATAAAATATTAAGTTTACATTCTAGTATGCAAATCATGTGAATATACTTAATCTTATGACAAATATATACGATATGTTGTGAAATAAATTTGTTGTGTCTTTTTAAATTTCTAAATGGGAGAATTCAGAGCTTCAGAGTCAAGTAATACTAATTAATGACATATTAAGACATAACAGGCCATACAAATTTTAAAAATTTGCTGTTTGTTTTTATTTAATAAAGATTCAGTTAATTTTAGTACCACATTGTATGTATGACTGTGTGTAGGTTTTAACTGTGTTATTCTTTATTCTGCTTTATAATATTATAGTATCATAGGGTATAGTATTATAAAGTTCTTTGATGTAAACATAATATTATCTGATATTTCTTTTATTTATTTACTACATGCTTTATAAGTTCTAGTGTAAAAACAGTTCTACTATTTTCTGTAAAAGCTGTTTAATACTAGTGATTATTGAAGATATTTCAGTATTATTTAAATCTAGCCAATTGATATCTATATATTTGCTATACAATAATTTTTTTAAAATTATTTGTGATAATTTTTAAAAAAATTATTCAGTGTGGTAAAAATATAATTTAAATTCTATCATTATTTTGATTTGGCATACTGAATAATAATAATTCAAGTCATTGTATGTTTTACTTAGCAAAGTACGTAGCGTATTCGGAAACTAAGTACCGTTTCATTCTAGCGCCGTCGCAGCGCTGTGGTAGGCGTCCCACGCATGCGCACTAGTCTTTCTTGTTCACTGACTTTCAATTGTCACCATTATGGTTGCTCTATGTTGTGTTTTCAGTTTGCTGTGCACATTCAAAATGTTTAAGACAATTAGTTCTCCCGCTGATTGTGAGATTCGGGACGTGATTAAATCTTTGAATGCGAGGAATGTTAAACTGGCCGAAATTTATCATCAAGTGACAGAAGTTTACGGTGAATACGCGATAAGTGATGGAATGGTGAGAAAGTGGGTAAGAATGTTTAATGCAGGTCGAACAAATGTCCACGCCGAGGCTCGGAGTGGTCGGCCTTCTGTTGTCACCGATGATTTGGTAAGGAAAGTTGATGAAGCAATTCATGAGAACAGATGCTTCACAATGACAACTCTTTCAGAGGCATTTCCACAAATTTCACGTACTGTTTTGTTCGAAATTGTGTCTGACCGCTTGAATTATCGCAACTGTGTTCCCGATGGGTTCCAAAAATGCTCACTGATGTTCACAAAACAAAGCGACTTGGTAGTGCCCTGACATTTCTCACGCGGTACACTAATGAGGGGAGAAAACTTTTTAAACCAAATTGTGACAGTCGATTAAACTTGTGTGCCATTTCACACCAGAATCAAAACAACAATCGATGGAGTGGAGACACACTATTCTCCGAAAAAACAAAAGTTCAAAGTGACAATGTCATCACAAAAAATCATGTGCACTGTCTTCTGGGATAGGAAAGGCATTTTGCTTACTGAATTTCTTCCCAGAGGTGAAACCATTAATGCGGCACGATATTGTGAGACTTTAACAAAACTAAGGCATGCCATTCAAAACAAACGAAGAGGAATGCTCAGTAAACGAATTGTGTTGCTCCATGACAATGCTCGGCCCCATACTGCTGGTGTCACTCAATTGTTAATTCGACAGTTTCATTGGGAGCAGTTCGATCACCCGCCGTACAGCCCGGACTTGGCGCCGTCCGACTATCACTTGTTCCTGCACATGAAGCGCAAGCTTGGTGGCAAGCGCTTTGGATCTGACAATGACACGAAAAATGCTGTGGAATCGTGGTTATCGAAACTGGCGGGAAGTTTCTTTGACAATGGTATAGAAAAACTGGTCACCCACTATGACAAGTGTTTGATCATTGGCGGAAACTATGTTGAAAAATAGTTTAAGACATGTATTTTCATGTAAAAATAAAATTGGATTCGAAAAAATTGTTTTACTATTTTTTTTTTTCAAAACGGTACTTAGTTTCCAAATACGCCTTCTATTTGGTATTTCCTATATTCATAATTAT